TGGAATCCAAGCTCATCATTTTAGAAAGGAACTTCAACGGGGATCCCCCAAGAGAATGCATCGGGCCCGCTGGGCTTGATCCCTCTGCTGTGAATCAGAAAGGTCAGAACAGGTGAGTAGTGGATGTAGTGGTCACACTGACCACGTGCAGAACTGGTTTTGACACCCTATGGGTGTCTGATTCTGGAAGGGATTTTGGTTACAGAATGTAACAGGGACATCAAAAAAAGATAGAATGTATGTCATTTTGTAAAGTTGAAAGGCCGAATAGACTTGATCAATTTGTAGACAAACGGACTCATCTAGTAGAGAATAAGGAGACAACAGACTCTACAAAATGATATCGTTTTTTCAAATTCCCTGGGAGGGCCCATCATTCTGTAGATTTTGTGCATTTTTCATGTTTCTACAGAATGACATACAGTTAACTCGAGCGCTGCATTTTGTAGGTATTTCATGGTTTGTTGTACTTTTTTTACTCCGCCCATCTTGTAGATAGTATGATTTTGTAGAGCCAAAAAGTGGTTTTTACTACAAAATGACTGTCTCGACCCCACACCCTGAATTTCAACGGGGATCATATTGGGCCTTGACTCCATCGAATGGTACCTGCAGGATGGACATGTTCTTGAGCTTGGTAACTTGGCCTTTGAGTTTCCCGTGATGGGCTCGGGAGTAGTGAGCTTGGATACGATCTCTTGCACCTGTTGTGGGAGAGCATCCATGTGGGTCTTCAAGAGATTTTTGAGATCAGGTTCCTCCGGCTTTGAAGGGCCTTTGCCCAGTGCTTGCAACCTGGTCTGGGTTTCCTCTGGCAAAGTCGCCCAGCTATTTGCCAGTAGTTCGGTTGCTTCTTGTTGTACCTTGCTCTTCTTGAGCGGTTTTAAACATGAGATCTTTTCTTTGCCCGCAATCTGTGCTACATTTCTGTGGACTCCTTTGGCACCTGGCAGTGCTCGCCTGGCTTTTTCCTGCGGTTCCACGAGGGCACTGGCACCTCATCGTAACAGAGCTCTCAGACCAGATCGAGGTCGGTGAACTGATCCTCACCCTACTACCTGAGCTTTGTAGACGCCGCTGAGGCCCACCTCATCCTGCACAATGTCACCATCTTGGAGAAGAGCATACATGGTATGCTCGCTTGGGGGTCAATGCACTAGCGGGACTTCACTTGAGACCTCAAACCTTGAGCCAAAATGGCTTGAGCCGTGTATGTATGTATGCATGTATGCATTTTTCCTAATGCGGTTCTTTCTCCCAGCTTTGGTTTCGATGCCCTTTTGGCATGTGCCGCTACAGCTGCTGGCCACTTCGAGGTCTTAGAAGGAGAAGGAGTCAAAAATGATGTCATCATGAGAGCGTTGCTCTTCCTCTGCTGATTCTGACGGCTCGGAGCTGCGGCTAAGGTCATTTGGTGCCCTTTGTGGTGGGTCGCTATCCAGATCGAGTTGGGGCCCGCAGAGAGTGCAGCGAACTTGATGGCCTTTTTGCCACAGCTGGTGGCTTGGGTGCCCATCATGTGGTTCTTGGAAGGGCTGGTCTAAGCAGGGGCCGTGTACAAACTCCTGGAATGCCTGCTTGTTGGTGCGCTTGTGGACATTGACCCCACATCTTTGGCACTTGGGGTACCCTTTGGTCTCTTCCAGGATGTGTTTGTCTGGAGCCGGCGGGTTGTCTTGTTGGGCTTGGAGCAGCTGGTGGGTGAGCTGGTTCTTGGTCAGCTCAGGGCCTGAGGGTGGTATTGCCTGTCGGTGTTCGTCAAGCTGCAGTTGTGGGCATTGTTCATGGAGCCTCTCCTCAAGCATTGAGGCGGTGAGCCCTTGGTGCATCCGCGTGCCGCAGGCGCTGCAGTGGTAGCCGCTACGATGAGGTTCCCAGCGGTGGTGCTGGGGTTGCCACGGTTGGCGGCATTGACTGACCAAATCTTTCTTTCTCTGTTTGGTCTGCTTGCCTTGGTGTCTGGGTGCTTTGTCATGGATGTGATGCTCTTTGTCCTCATAGACCTTGGCAAGCCTTTGAATGGCGTGCTTGTAGATCAGTGTGTTGTCCTGATCTACCGTTTTCTGCCAGTCTGTCTGTTGACGGTTATGCAGGCTATTCGCCCTCTCCCAGGCCACTAGCGCTGCGTCTCTTTGGCGGCGTCGGAGTTGAGGTTCACTTTGTGGGGCCTCAGGTGTGCGTGTGTTCCTGCTGACGTAAAGCACAGTGACTCTCTGCCTGTCTGAGGTGGTGAGATCTTCCACGAGATCTGGGAAAGGCTGGTTGCGATGATGACTCTGCCAGGCTTCCCACACTGAGGCGAGCTGCGCAATGACCTTGACAGGTGTGGTGGTGTGCTTTGCCAAGGCAACCAAGCCGGCAAACAAAGCCCGTGCTTTTGTTTGGGCACCTGTCTGTATGTATGTATGTATGTATGTATGTATGTGTTGTAGTGTATTGTATTGTATTGTATTGTACGTCGCGTATGTTTGTTTTTGGTTAATGTAATGCATTTAATGTTTGTAATGTAATGTAGTGGTATGGTATGGTAAGGTAATGCAATGCATGTCATGTCATGTCATGTATGTTATGTTATGTTATGTTATGTTATGTTATGTTATGTTATGTTA